ACTCTTTCCAACTAAAGCCTTTAAAGACATTTGGGAATTTACAAAAAGTTGTATTTAACCAAGCTTCAAAGATTCCTGTAAAATATCCATATGCCTTTTACACATGCCCATGCACGTTTTTCTTCCCAAGGGGGGTTTATTAAAATTGAGTGAGAAGCGTTTTTCTCAGTTTCTCCGAGAGCTTTGCTGTATAATTCAGAAGGAAGTCAACACACAGTTTTGCCAGTTCGTGAAAGCTTTTTCTATTTCACTCATTTATTCTAGCTCTCATGTCAATTCCATTGTTCCATAACAGTTAAGGTTTTACAGCCTTAAAATAATAAACGTATTTTCTTTTCACATTTTACAAGTCTATTCCGCGTTGTTTTCACTTCTGAGAAGCAACAATACATGACTTTGAACACCTACTATCACATCAGTGACCAGAAACGTCTATGCAATTTTTTTCTAAACAGTGAAGTTCAGCTGAACAGTGAGTCAGGATCTCCTTCTGCAGTTTCATTTTAGCTTTTTCTAGAAAGATAGATTCTCTGAAAATATAAAAGAGACTGCAAATGATCAGATAGCAACTCATATAGACAAGCCAGACAAACAGAGATGCATTATTGAACAATGTTTAAAGCATCAATCACAATATTTCTCCATTCCATGCATTCCACAACCTGCTGTTGATCTAGAGGACATGATGAAATACGCTTCACTACTGCTTCGATTATTCTGTAAGTTTATCCTTCTGTCTTCTTTTCTACACAAGAAATGGTTTACAATATATGCAAATTGACATAAACAGCCCTACTGTGACCCAATTTTGTATTGGTTCCCTCGATTCCTATGTTTCTCCCCAAATATCATCATAGTCATAATCTCATTTTATTAACAAAGCAACCATTGCTGCTGTAGAAAGCAGCACTTCAATCTTCATCACGTGGACCAGAGTACACTGAAGTTGCGTGATAGTTTTTGTTACCGTTTTTTAGAAGTAAATCAGAGCTCTAACAACTAGTAGAAATAGGCAATAAAGCAGTTTTCTTATGAAAACTGGTTTTCAAAAACCGATTAACGCCTGTGAACTTGAACAATTCCAAAGAAAACATCACATCTAATGGGACACTTTTCTACTGGAGAAAAGTCATCATTTGAAACAAGATCTACAGGGCAGCACACAATCGTTAAGATGCTTTATTGACACTATCCACTCACCGCAAAAGTATCTGCCTGCATACAATTAGAGCTTAGCTTTTCAATAGTGTTTTATTGGCAGTGGAAAATGCATCAGTACTTTATTGAAAGAAAGCAATAAATAATACTGTGATAAAAATAGTTCAAAAGTAGACTGTACATATTGTTACATAATCTGAAAATACACAAAAGATTAATAGAAAAACAGAACAGTAACAATGAATTTCAGTTTTACAAGCAAGTTAAAAGTGGAAAACAAAATAAGAAAAAAAGACATGCTATATATATTGTTGCATAATAAATAATGCACCATCTGAACAGATTCTTGCTGGCTTTTTAATATGCCATTTGCAAGTGTTGGATACATTTTCTACTCACACAGTCCAAAATGGCTACAACCATCAAAACTGAAGTCTGGACAACTCTTTAGAACAAGTTTACAAAACACAAAAGATGACTTACATAAGAAAAGTAAGGCCTTTATTAGAAGTTGCACTGCTTTAGTTTTCAGCCCCTTGTACCTTCATCTTTCGCTACTCATTTGACAGGAGACTGCAGTGCTTCGTGATTGGTCCATTAAAACTACTTTCCCCAGCATCTTTCCACAAGTGTTTTCAATCAAACAGATCTAGGACAAAAACTCTCTGTGGCCTGTGGATTACGCCCAGGAATTATTTTGAAGTCTATCTTCCTCAGTTAAGGAAAAAAAAAAAAATAAAAAACAGTTCTCGGTTTATGGCTTGTTTTCAGTCACTGTGAAGATACGCTATACAAATACAGCAGAGAGTGTTATGACCGAGTCAATCACTTCTAAAACGTGTTCCGTAGTGTTATAGTTCCTCCCAGCATTTAAAACAAGTTATATTTTAAATAAAGACAAATTCCCACTACTTGACAAATCCTCTTTGTGGAAAGGTACAGTTCTGAAAAGAAGAACAATCATGTACCATACCTTCTACAACAACATATGCTTACCTGAAAAAAAGCTGGACTTGTTTTCAGATCTAAGCTAACATTTCCAAAAGACAAAATATATACTGCTTGGTGGCATGATACTTTTACAAAGGTATTAAAATCCTTTTCACCTTCAGTTTCATTATTAAAAAACAACGATAATTACAGTAACTGCATAATTTACAAAAACCCTATATTACTTATAGGGACATATACATACAAGCATTACAGTACATTCAGTTGGAAAGACTAAAATTAGAATAAAAAAATCAGCAATGATTTGATTTGTAGACTGAATAGAAACAGAAAAAGTAAGTAACTATATAAATGAGAAGACACATAAATATAAGAAACATTTAGATTCTAAAATATTTTCTCTATAGTACTCATGAATTTATTTGCTAATTAAAAACTCTGTAATAAAATATCTCAAAGTGTCCATTTCACAAGTATTAACAGGTTAAGGGTTCCAAATGTTCAAAATGCTGCATATCACCGGTAGAAATAGTGTGGGTAAACTGTAAAAACAACAAGAACAAACAAAAAACACACAAAAAATCCATTAGCAGTTTTTTTAAAAACATTTCATTCTAAGTTTCTCACAAACAGCTCAATAGTGTAGCGGTCATGCATCGAATTATTGCCATGCCATGATGTATACAATTTTATTGCCTTCTCTAATCTTCAGTTGCAAGGCAAAATAAAGCACATGAGGTCAAATATTTCTGCTTCTTAAGCTTTTATCCTAGCTCATCTGACTACAGAAGATCCTGAAACAGCGGGGAGAATTTGGGGGAGAGGAAGACTTAAAACTTCAATGTCTTGAAACTAAAAAAATTTTAAGATAGCCCCTGAGATTATGAACTGACAGATCCACATGATCCGAGCTGCTATGTGCAAGAGTTTCCCTTCTCAACATTTCATACGTAAGAACTCCCTAGAACTAAACTTGTATATGCAAACAGGTTCAGAATTTGAAGAAAAGGCAGCCCGTACAGGAGTTGGTAGGGATGTTACTGGTGAGAAGAAAGGAGAGAAGCTGTAAGCAGAAGGGACAGGCAATTTATAGCCCATGGAAGACACCAGCTAGTGAGAGAAAGATTCACAGGATTTTTTTTTTTTTTTAATCCAATATAGTAAAAAAAATTAGTTTCCAGACTTGTTTGCAAAACAAGAGAAATACTGTTCCATGAGCAAATACAGCAGGGGCTGCAGAAAAATCATTCCAAATCCTGGAGTAAGACAGGACTACATACCTTTCATAAGCCAGAATACACGTATTCTGTGTTAAACACCCTTGTGGTATCAAGCTGCCTTTTATTGCCAGCACTGCTCACAGCTACCCAAATTTAGGCTGCGGGTAGCTAAACCCAACCCGACAGCCTAAGCAATCACAGTGGCATGAAGTATCTAAGAATTGGAAAACGATGCAATTACCCCTGTAACAATTCAATATTGAAGTATATTGTAGTAGGATAACTTTGACCAAGCAAAGACTCTGAAAGATCAATAATCTGAACTGCAGTGTCACACACTAAATTATTTTCTTTCCTTTATATGCCTAATTTAGTTCCCTTCCCCCCTCCCCACTTTCACTAGCTGTTTCATCCAACCTTTGATTTCAACACTTTCTACACAGCTATTTAGTACGGGTCCTTTTTGAGGCTGTTTAAAGAAAAACTTCAAAAAGAATACAGTATTTACAAAAGTAAATATTTAAACACTCATAGTCTTCATTGTAGGAAATAAGCTCCAGATTTTCTATATAACAATCTACCCTGAAAAACTGAAACAGTTTTGTAAGTCTGTAAATTCACTGTATTAAAATACCTGACGCTTTATTTCATAAATAGCTGCTTTACTATTATACCTATCAACTTTACTCACCAGGAGAAGGCTTTAACAGGAGTAGGTCCTTACTGTAGCAGAGTCCAATCTTTGTGTTCCTGATACACTGCCTATTTCAAGAAGCACGGGAAGACATGCAGAACACAGCATGCATGTTAGTTCTCAAAAAAATCTCACAGCAATTTGATTATAGCTACTGTACTCACCCAAATCTAAGGTTACAAGTTAGAAAAGCAGAATTTATTTTACATTTTATATATTGACCACTTCTAGTTTCAGTGGCTAACAAAAATAATTCTAAGAAAGTCTGCGTGCCAGCTAGCACGCAGAAATTGGCAAAAGTAATTTTATAAGTAATTTATTCTCTATTTTATATAGTTTATATATTTTTATTTTCTGGGCTTTTTTAATATCGTAAAAAGAAAGAGGTTTTACATGGTAAAGAATTCACTTACTTTAATTTACAGAATTTTCCACATGAATTCTGGAAAATATTTTGTGCTAGTGACAATATTTAAGATTTAAAACAGCTCACATTTCAGAGAGTAACATCAGGTGCAAAGGTTGCTTCTTTGAGCTTTACTCATAAATACAATTTTCAGAACCTGAGACAACTCTGGCAGATTATCCTGAAATTCTCATCCTGTCTGTTCCAATTAAACAAATTTTCCATTTATTTTTACTTGTGTTTCGTAAACCAAATTCAAGTAAAAGTTTATTCTCATGATAATGAAGAGGCTGTTTTTAAGCACCTTACATGACAGGTGATCACCTTCCACTTCCAGCTGGGGATTTTTGTGGTTTGTTTGGGTTTTGTTTGTTTGTTTGTTTCTTCTTAATACATATCTCTGTGTGTGCACACATATACATATAGATCATTAAGTACACAGCAATGAATGAAATAATGATTTCAAGTATGATCAATACTTAAGTGACCACTGCAAGGGTGGTAATGCACCTTTTACTCAAGTTTTAATAATCTCAAATTTATCTGAGGGAGTTTACTCACATAATTTTAATGCATATTACTGCATTTCAGAAGTGGTACTTACATTGGTCTAATTGCTGCTAATTAGAAATTATGCATCATGTGATTGAAAGACTTCCATAAAATGGAATTTTGTTTTCCTAGATTAAAACAAATTTATTTCTAACTAAAATGCTCGTTTTGTTATTCCAATAAAGTCTAAAGAAACTCCACACCTATTACAGCTTCCTGAAATTATAAAGCACCCTATGGTTAAACACAGTGTTATATATACAACCATGCACAAGGCAGATGCTTTTATGCAGCAAAAAGGTAACTTGAACTTAATTCCCCTGTAATCTCAAGCAAAAAAGTGCCTCATGCTTAAAATAATACAAAACCAATACCATCAATCTGCATCTTCTTTGGCTGCATAGAGGGTGAAGACATTGAGGTTGTAACTCTGAAATTTGCAGGAAGAGTCTCTGCTGATCCAGCAGCTAAACCTCTTATGTCCTTTGGTCTAAACTTCTTTCTCCATGAAGGTGCTCTCCTAAAGCTCTTATCATCATCCTGTTATATTGATAAACATGATTAGCGATTCAAAAAATGTAGGATTGTTACTGACATTAAAAGGATTACTGACAATCTTAACTAAATGTATCACCACCGAATGAGTTAACTTTTCAGAACGGTTCAGGTGCAACAGCAGCAGAGGTCTTCATTTACAACAATCTGTATTCATTTGCTAGACCGTAGGCTCTTCAGCTCAGTAACTATGGAAATTCACGTGCTTGGCACATTTAGGAAAACATTTTGTACTTTGAATATTTGTACTTCATGATTTGCAGTAATTCGTAAGTGTCACATCACTCATTCTTAGGGGATACGAGGAGTGGAGCAGATCATAAAAACTGCTTTGGGAACACTGACATACAGAGGCTCAATTTGAACAATTGCTTTTAACCTTCAATTCTGTCTTACAGGAATGATGATACAGCTATCGTGCTTTCTCATGCTACAAATTACAGGAAGTGATAGAGAGGAAAAAGCATAGTAAATACTATATTGCTGCACAGTGTTTTGCTTAAGCACTTGGGTAAACTTAACTTGTAATTACCCAGGTACATTTTCCCCCCATTAATACATCTGCATCTTTGAAGTAATATTCCACTTCAGAAATACAATATTGCACTTACTAAATAGAACAGTTTAAGTCCCACTTCCAAAAACGTCTATTATGTCAGTGCAAATATACCCATTGTGCAGCTCCATTTGCCAACTTCACCTTTAGAAACAGTTCAATCACTTGAATGCCATTTTACCTAAAATTTATCCCCTTTTAGAATTAGGAGACAAGTGCCTGCATTATTTGAAGAGATCTTCACGATCAGCGAACTGCCCTGTGCCGCTAGAACAGAACAAACAACCGTTCCCTCAATGCTGCTCTCTTGCGGTTTGAAATCACTAAGGGAAAGTACCTTAGAAAACCATCAAGCTGCTTTCTGATGATGTTATTAAAACCTTAGTAGAGATGCATACTGAGAACAGAGCTGTCAGGATGCGCCACAAAAGGGCTGCAACTAGTCCATTAAGCAAAAGAGGAACACAAACCCAATCCAGGTTTGTCATAGCAGCCTTCTTCCTCAACATACTGGTGTATGCTTCGCCTCACTGCTCCAAAAGCAGTTTAAGCCAGCACTTTCACCGTCCCCCATCCTCTTCCTCATACTAGCACAAATGTTTCTCAGATATCATGGACTGATTCCCTCACCTGGTTAACCATGTTAGGGTTTTGACACCTTAGTCTTGACCTGAACCACTTTTGCCTCCATGTGCTACTACATAACCTCCCATTAGCACTAAAGAAGAGGTAGCACGGGGTTAGGACTCTCTTTGGGGAAGTAACACCAGCTTGAAACTGTTCACTACGTTACAGCATAGAACAACTCAAAAGGTTAAATATGTAACACTCTGCTTTCTGCTATGGGTTCACAGGGTCTACAAAAAAGTCTCACACCTAGTTTGTTAGTTTTACACTCATTACATTTGAATGAAGTTTGTACACTGCGAGATCACAGGCTGCCCGACAGAAATTACTTTGATGTGCAAACATACCTGGTGGTCATCTATACCAGTATTAACAGATATTAACAACACAAGCTTTCTTGAAAAACACTCGAAATTATTTGAAATACTGCTTGTTAGGACAAAGGTTTGAAGTGTGCTATACAGTGCCCTTCTGTATTATAGCTTGTTCATCTGCAACACTGGTCACTAATTTTCCCACATTTTAGATAGAAGATTCAGCCCAAAGTGCTGCTATTAGACATTAACCATGCAAGCTACAAAAAAAACCCCTTGCAAATAATCTCAATACTTTCATATTCAAAGCAATCTTACCCAAATACACAAAACCTGCCATATTCGGAAACTCTTGAAGACAAACAATTTCAAGTTAAGATTTCTGTCGCTATTCTGTCAATAGCTGAAAGAGGTTCATGCTAAATTCTTTCACTTAGCAGCTCTGCTAAAGTTCCCAGGACCACAAAATGGGTCAACAGCTCAAGTAACTTACTTCATCAAGTCTTCTGTCAGTGCCCATAGCAAGAAGGTTATTAAATTCCTTCTCCAGAACAGCACGAGCCTGAAGTTTATAATACAAAAGAAATGGAAATTAATTCCAAAAGATTAGTAATTAGTAACCTATAGTAATTTTTAAAACTTAATATAACCCAAATTGTTTAATACCTTCTTATCAGATTAATAAACATAAATTGTAACTTTTCAAGTACTAAGCTGTAACTTATTAAAAGTTTAAGGAGGACTTAACAGCTCCCCCTGCCCTTTGTTGTGATATGAAAGTTCACAATTTCTGACTCAAACTTAATTACTTTGGAATAAAAACTAGCAAACAACAAAAATGAGTTTTAGACTAATGTTGTGAAGATGGGCTATGAGGAGTATATTCAAACAATATTTTTTGTTCAAGCAAATTTATCAACCAGAACTGTCATTAACAATTAGAAAACAGTAAGAAAAGCGTAGTTCTATGTTTTTCTCTTATAGGATTACAGACAACTTTCCATTTCTAAAGTTTCTAGAGCTGGGAAGAGAAAGACATGCAGTTACCCAAGAGAAAAACCATTCAGTTCCATTTTTAAGGTTCCTAGAGGGGAGGAAAATCCTATCGGCCTTAAAGTAAGTACTTCTTGCTTACCTGTGTGTTTTGAGTGGGTATTTGTAATAAGAGAGCTAATGCATTGTAATCAAATGATTCATCTAAGGCCACAAGTGCACCGTGAACTCCGCTCTCTATAAGGTTATTTGCGTATTCTTTAAGACCAATGGACACTACCCAATGCATCATTCTTTCATTGCTCCAGACAAGGACATCTATGGAGAAAAAGAGTTGCCAGATTTATAACAATACAACTGTTCTGAACAAAAAACCCATGGTCCTTTCTTGATCTGTATGCTTGTGTTGGGATTGATTTTCACATATACGCAATTCATCATAAATGCTGTTAAGTAGTAGTCCTCAAGGAACTGTGTTATTTAACATTTAGGTTGCGATCCAGTCTGCCCCTGCCTTTTTGGTGTGCATGAAACGCTCTGAATTGGCAACAAAACTTCATGCTTGGACTTCAACGCTCAGTGTTGGATCCTTTCCATACAGTAGCTTTCCTTGCACCCAGAAGGAATAGTCCTCGCTCAATCTCCTCTCTGCCTACAGAGGGAGGCTACAGTCACAGCTCTGAGAAATTCAGCTGGGCACAGTGTTCATGCAGATGGGGAAGACAGGATCTTCTATTTTACACAGCCACTTAGGGGCTTGGACCTCACCCAAGACAGAATCAGTATTTTGGAAAAAAAAAAGTTACTACTCAAAAGAAAATTCTTATAGCAGTTTCTCATGCACTTCCTACTGAATTTGAACAGAAATCTTTATTTATTATTGTTTAAAGCTTTATTATTTATTAGTTTTATAACCTTATCTACGTTTAAGTTCTGAAGGTGTTCATTTTAGTAATGCAGACTTACCTTCAGCTTGTGTCTGCATACTACTACACTTTTCCAGTCATAAATTTGAAGTGGAAAGTAAACGTATTTGAAGTTTGCTGGAAGGCATTTCATGCTCTAACAGTTCAACAGTCAATATACTCTCATCTTAGAACTTTATCAAGGAAAAACATCATAAAGCAGCATTTACATGTTCAGCCCAAACATCAAAACAAAAACTATGTTCTTACAAGTAGGGGTTTTTTAATACTACTCAGGAATGTCTATACCAATTGAACAGTTACAATGATCCACAGCATGTTTCTGGCCTACGCCAACTAGCACTCTTCCCAAACAATTCCCAGGAGGCATTCAAGAGTTATATGTTCCAAGGAGCGACTCCTTATAGGCAACAGATACAGCCATGGCATTTAGGAGGCTAAAAAAGGCTTACCAGCCACAACACAGGCTTGTTTCGTGGCAGTTAGCTGCAATTCCTGGGAATGTTCTCAGGCACAACTAGTAGAATAACCACCAAAAGGTATTAACACTTTAAAAAG